CGTCATTTTGGCGGGAAAACGTGATAGCCGTCGTCATTCTACTACGAGTTTTAGCGAGAATGTCGAAGTAGCGGAAACAAGTTATCAAATGTTAGAAGTTTTATCATTTTGCCATCAGGAGAGGGTGCAACCTCCTTCACTAAAGGTAACAGTGCTAACTTTTCTAGTGAAAAATGGTAAAATGAAGCTTTCCGGGATGTCTATTTTTTGAGAATACGCGAAAAAACTTGAAGTCAAATCTCGCACTCGTAGTCGTCCTCGTCCTGAATCTAAAGGTCTCTAATGTAGGTTACAGTATGAAGGTGTTAGCAGTGAAGTTTATTTATGAAAAGTGTAAAACACTTAGTAGCTTCAATATTTTGCACAAATGTTTGACAAATTTAATATTCCCTAAGCAGGGGAACAGTGCGGTGGTTATTGGTGTGATTTTGATGCTGGGTTGAGTGAATTTCTTAGGAAACACACTGTTGGATATCTGTGTATATTCATGTTTGTACAGAGACCTTCACACTTTATAATGTGATAACTAATGGATTTGTTGCTTGCATCAACAATACCATTTGCTCAAGAGACTTTATCTTCTAGTTTAAATGTTCTTCTGGTTAACTTGTTTATGTGGCTGTTGTCTTTGAATTGTGTCCTTTTCAAGGTGAACTTATTTTGGAACTAGGCTGAAATCACGTCAAGTTTACCTTTTTTTAGCTTGTGCTGAAAAAGGCCAATAAAGCTTAGAATTATGTTGCTTTTTAAAGAAAATTGATAGTTCATCCTTTTGTTGGGCTTTACAAAGAAAGACACCTTAACACCAAACATCAGACTTAAAGTCTTTGGCAGTTTTTTTTCAAATTTGCCACACTGTACAAGTACAATAAGTACAGGAAAAAATACTTGACTAAACGAAGTAAAGATTTTATTAACAGCAAGACTCAGTAGTGCAGAATCATGGAACGGAAAAATGTGCATTATATAATTATGGCACTACAGCCCATATGAATTTTGATGATGAATCAAATGGGAAAAAACGATGATGAACAATTATCCTTAGTGGCATCATTCTTTTATATGGGGTACAATATTCTTCATGGCACTTAACAGTGAAGATGATTACCGGTATAAAGTTTCATAACACATTTATTCTTCCCATATGAATGTGTGATTCTGTAACTAATTACTTGCTGATTTAACTCGACTAGACAGCTGAGTCGGTGATGAACAAGATAATTCCCTGAAGACTACCTTTTGCTCCTTCTGGTCAGCAATTCTTTCAAAAATGTTTATGATCTTGTCCAGTGTTTGGTCAATTCCTACTATCAAATCCTGTTCAATTGAGACCAATTTGCTTGCTTTTGCTTCCTGCATATAATAAAAATTATTACACACTTAAGGTATCTGCACCGGCAAATTTTCAACATTTTATTTTGCCCTCAAAATCTTTCTACAGTAAGTTCAGATGATGTAATATGCATATCTGGTGTTCTTTTTTGAATATACCTTCCCATTTAAGAGAAAATCTACTCAAAAGTTGACTGATTTACCGGAAGTTAAAGAAAATTTTTCATTTCCGTTACTAAGAAAAAGAACGGCAGTAGCGCAATTTGACTCCTCTTTTCGGCATCAAGTTCTATTGATGCGCTGAACAAAATCTATTCACTGCTTGGATTCATTGACAAACTACAGCGGCTGTATGTCCAACTTGATTTTTCTTGCTTCTGTTAAAGCTGTGATGACTAATATTACTTGCTACTTGTCAATATTTGTTGTGTTCTTGAAATATACTCCGTTTTCCAGGGCTTATTATTGTTTTAAATTTACATTACATCGGTGTGTCTTCTCACCTGATATATTCTGACAATTTTGCCGAGAGAGTAAAACGGTTTCTTGGCCCCTAATCCTCTGGTCTGTTTTTCTACCAATTTCTTTCACTTTACAGAAGCAATTCTTTTCATTTTTGAATAAAACTCTTCTTCAATCTTCATACTTCGGCGCGCTTCACTGCATTAAAGCTGACACTGAGTAACGCATCTTCCGGAAATGCGTCACACCTAGCAACTGGTCACGTATCAAAATCCAAGGGGGCTATAGAGAGGTCATTTGGCATTTTCTTAGGCTTCCACGAGCATTTTACACAGCGGTGATTCAAAATGGCGGGCAAGAAGGTCTGTGATGCTAGTATCGAGCAAAAACAGTTGATTTTGAGACGAAAATAGGCTTTTTTACACTGGAAAAGCGTTAACTACGGCGTGACCGATTTACCTTGACTTACGGGAACCAGTTTTTTGGAGGAATGGATCATTATATCTTCGTGAAATTTGGCAAATACACAAAGAGCATGTTGATGAACAGATCTGTGTTTGACCAAAGAATGAAATTACCATACGGCTGAGTTACTGAAGTCCAAAAAGGGATCAAATTACAAAACAACAAACTGCCCTCTAGAGGGCGTATTTCTCGGAGCTGTGTCTTGGTCAAACACAGGATTGTTGCTTTTTACGTCCCTGTTTGTGTTGCATTTCATTTTTCCTACAAACTGTTGTGGTTTTTGTGAAATTTGAATTCTTCTCTTTCCATGCCACCCCCAGGGGGTAATTAAAATAACACCTTTAGAGTGATGTAGCCTTACAATTTTTTCACTAGTTTTGTTCCTTATGGACCAAAAAGCAATGTTGTTGTCTAACATGTAGATAATACTCTTACATTGGATGTCAGTGTATCACCTAAAATGTGCAGAATTTGCCGGTGCAGATACCTTAAGGTAAAAAACAAAAAAAAACACTGTTCATTAAAACATGTCACAATATTACTATTACTGGCAAACTATTTCTTAATAAAGTTTAAAGTATGATAAAGTAATAAAGATAAATGTAGCATAATGAGTTTACTTTCTTCGTGCTAAACCTGCCTTCTCATATGAATGTGGGGTTCAGGAACTAATTACTTAGTGATTTAACTCGACTAGACAGCTAACTTGGTAATGAGCAACATAATTCCCTGCAGACCACCTTCTGTTTCTTCTGGTCAGCAATTCTTTTACGACTTCATTTGCATGTGGATTTCCATTCTTAAAAGGGAGATTGTGAAATGGAGTTGAAAAATAAATTCAATTATTAACCTTATTCTTTTTAAAGTGCAACATTGATATACCGTTTACTCAAAACATTTCTCAAGTGAGGGGTTCCTCCAAAAGAGTCTTTGAAGAAAAGAAAGACTACCTTTCAACAGAGGGTACTGCTTGAAGAATTGTTAAGAGACAGGCAAAGGGAACTCTTCTCTAAGTGCTCAGTCTATTACCGGTTTCCTGAGTGCACAACTGGATTTAGCGATAATCTGAAAAAAGACAATGCTGTCCCATTGTAAGTACACTTTTAATGTAGATTACATAATGGAGAATTTGCCTGTTTCCAAAAAAAGCATGCTTGTAGCATCATTTATGTGGTTAGAGATTCTTTTGAAGATTTTGAGGTTAATGATGAGACACTGACTGGTGCTGACAGTTAACTTGTTGAGACATTTGGCCTTGAATATGGTGGAATCTATAACAGCAGTGAAGGCAGTGACACTGACTTTTTCACAGATTCTAAGTTATAGTAATAACTTACTTCTGTTAGAGAAAGCATTTTTGACTTTGTTGAAGTGCACCATTTAGAATATTGGAAATATTTTTGATCCAGCTAGCCCTGCCAATCAACGCAGTTAAGTAAACACCATCTATTCATGCACAGATTTCAGTTTCAGGTTTTGTCTCAAATCGACCCTGCTGCCAGAATTGGGTAGCATCCGGGGTGATTTGTGCCAAATTTTTCCAGGGCATCGAGTAAGCTAAGCTGAAGGAAAACCTTTATGTTTTATGACAGTACATCAGATATGTTTTAAAGGCCCATGTTCACCCTAGATGCATTGTGCACCCTGTACTCCAGAAAAAACATTTCGCTTAGTTGAAAATCACTGCCTTCAGTGTGTAGAGTCAATCTTTGTAAATCTTCCACAGTCTGTTAAATCTGGTGTAAAAGAAAGTCTAAACAGGTTCTCGTGGTATTTTTCTTTACATCTTTTTGGATATTTTGGTCTGGTATCGAGCCGTTTTGTTTTTGAGTGTTTGTTTCACTGCAGAAATTTCGATGGCAGTGCCATCAAAACGTATGGTTGGAAGACCGCTTCGACGGGGGTCGCCGAAATACATTAGTCTCCGTGAATCCATTTTTTTAATCTCTGGACAGATGGGAAAGAAGCTCTTGGCTGCAAATTCTACGGACACCATGTTTGCCGAGTTCCTTCTACATTGAATGTGCAATTGTAAACAGAGGTCCTGTTGAAATCAGTTGAAAGCAAAACAAGCGAGTCAATCTAACATGAACAATGCTTTATTTAATTTAACCTATGAAGCGAGTGATATCCTTAACGTAAACTTAGCATCTGGCGTATCCTGGCTTATCACGATTAAAGCTCTAAAGTAGCAAGAACTATTAGGTGGGTTCATACTAGCGAAGTAAGTAGACCTTAAGTACAGCAGGAGCCCAAGTACACTTGAGAACATGTATGTTTTCTTACCGTGATAAGCGTTCACATTTAGAATTCAAAGTATGCTTGAAGCAATCGGGGTTTTCAGTCAAGTTACGCGGTAAAATTTCGCGTGCATGAAATAGCGTGATTAGGATTTTAACTGCGATATGCACAAAACATAAGCACAACATGCAACCTCGAAAACTTCGAATTGCTTACCTTGTGTTCCTCATGATTTTCTTACTGCAACGACAGAGAGCTTTGCTATTACAGCAATTTTACCACTTTCTCGTCACAGAGGAAGAATTTAGAGTGAGACGGAGAAACAGACAAATGTTGCTGATGTTCATGGCCCAAATGAGACAACAAAACGTGCGACGCAGAAGAAGAGCTTGAGTTTGGCCACGTCCCCAGAAGTGGTTCAAAAAATTACTGGCAAGTCCTGCGCTAAATTTTCTTTGGAAGGAACATTTCAGGGTCACCCGAGAAACATTTGAATACTT